GATAAATGCCCTTTGCCTCCTAGTTCTTTCCTCTATTTCCTTTTACTTTCCTCTTGTCCCACTACCATGCTCAGCCTTCATTTGGGTTTCAGTAATTCCTCTCGGTTACATTGCCCTTGATCAATCCCTACTAGGCCTCCTACACCCCTGATGGAGGTCTTTTTCTCTCCAGAAAGGATCTCCTTCTCACCCAGAGTTTACGCCAGTTGTGTGGAACCCGCAAACAGTTACACACTCAAGGTTTATTCATAGTCTTTGCACCCAAGGACTCCTCCCAGGGGAGCAGGACCAGGTTTCCCTCCAACTCAGGAGTTTAGATTTTATCCTGTTTATTCAAAGGGGATTGTTGTTATTAGGTGAGTCAGTCCTGACACCCAGCGACCTCTGCAGGACAGAGGAAGCATTGCTCCATCGGTGCCACCCTCACAATTATTCTTAGGTTTCAACACACGGCCGCAGCCAGCGTGTCGATCCATCCAATGGATCCATCAAGTCAGTGCCAACTCACAGCGACTCCTTAGCACAGGGTGGAACTGTTCCTGTGAGTTTTCAAGCCTGCACCTCTTTAGGGGAGTAGAAAGCCCCGTCTTTCCCCCATTGAGTGGCTGGTGTTTTGAACTGCTTACCTTGCAGTTAGCAGCCCAACTCGTAACCACTGCATCACCAGGATGGGATTAGGGGGTGATGTTCATCATGAAAAGTTGATCAAGGGGAGACGTGAACAGCTTTGTCAGACAGAGCATTGTGACGTCCATTAAGGCAGACGCAGTTAGGTAGCAACGTTTTAAAAGTGACGATAGCGTCGAGAAACTGGTGCAAGTTGGCCAAGGTTAAAATCATTCGCGAATGGAAAATTTGCTATTATATTACCTTTGAATAATATGCATTGTGGTTTCCCTGCTGTATATCTGCCCAACGATCTGAAGCCTGGATTTTAGATACTTGATAATAATAGTATTAATAATAACAACGCAAAATTCAAGCAAACCCTTCGCCATGGAGTTAATTTCAACTCCTAGTCACCCTCAGGAGGGGTTCTGGGACTGTGACTCTTTGTAGGAGCGGACAGCCTCAGTTCTTTTGGAGGAGCGGCTAGTGCATTTGAACCTTTCTGTTAGCCTCTCTGTGGCAACAGCAAATGTCCCTCTGGATGAAGGGTATGTGGCAAGTCTTTGCATCTTTTTAACAATAGTTCTAGAGTCTGAAATCTTTTCAAAATAAAAATGTAAATACATCCTGGACCCCCACTGGAGCCACGACTGAAAAAAGAGTCATCCAAGGCATCCCTGACACCAGGGACATGGTCCCCCTGGACTCCAGAAGTTCACCTCTCTGGCTCCTGGTCACACAGCTCTCCTGAGGGCAATAAGGAATTGACCAATTAGCTGGTGAGCCCCCACCCTCCTTAACCAGAAACTTGGGAGGAGTTTGTCTCAGCCTTCTCCTTGGTAATTAAAAGAGCCGTTACCTTTGGAGTTGGTTAAGAAACATGAAAGTCTATAGAACCCAATGCCATTAATAGTTCTCTTGGTCTGGATATCGAGTCTCCTCCAGAGAAGCTGAAGATTTGAGCAAGAGATCGGAGCAGAAGGTGTCTGAACCCACGCACACAGGTCAGAGGGAGCTAGTACTCTCCCCGTGGCACTGGTTCTGTCTGTGGGCATCTAAGGGTTTTTGGGTTCAATTTTATAGTTATGGGTATGTGTATTGTGCATGCTTGTGTAGGTGTTTTGTGATAGTTATATTTGTACTTGGCTTACAGTCTGATTATTTTCTCGAGTTAGACCCAAACTAGAGGCTGCTTTAGCATGTGTAGACCAAGTGATCCAGTTCCTGAGTTGGTGACTGACAGACTCTTAGTACGTGCCCGTGATCTTCAGTATTTGTGCCTCACCTACATTCCCACTATCTGGCATCACAGCGGAGGGGATTAGAGCCCAGCATCCAGAGAAGAAGGCTGTTCTCCACTGTCTGGGGAAGATGCCTGAATGCACCAAGGAGTTACTGCTCAGAGAGGGTGCAAATCTCGGCTCAGCTTTGTGCGCATGTGTGAGCTATGCTTGTGGGTGACACACAGTTGTGAGAGCAGGAATGTGTGTGGCTGATAATCGTTATGTATGTCTGTTCGTTAGTCGTTAGCAGTGGTTTAGCGACTGCCTATAACTGAATAGACTTAACTGTCCCATGCTGACTGCCTTCTACCCAACATAGGTTAGGTCAGAGGAGGCAAGGGAAGGCTTACATTTGTGGCCACGTGTGCTGAGTGTGGGAGAACTGTGTAACAGCTGCCATGCAGGTTTACAGCCTTGGAAACTGACCAAAAGTCGCTGTACAGAAACTGTATAGTCACCGTGAGTCAGAACTGACTCCATGGCAGGGTGCTTGATTGTTTTGGTCTGAGGTACTGCTTGTTCATGTGCAGGGTGTGCCTAGCCATGCATGTGTGTTATGTGTTGGTTGTGAAATTTTGAGTTGTATGCCCTTGGATGTGTACAGAGCATAGGGTCTGAATGATAAGGTATATGGCACATGAGAAGCAGGTGTGTCATGCTTGTGTGTCTATGGTGCATTATGAATGTATTTGTGAGTTGTGTGGTCTGTCCGTTGTGTATTGTGTATCTCTTACAGTTTGTATTGTGTATGGTTTGCATGTATGTTACTATGTATGTACTCAACTACACACTGACTATCCTATCCTGTCCTGTCTTTATGAGAATAGGTCACAGATGGCTGGAATCCCCAAATAAGCAGTGTATGTGAACGTGTGTGTGCATGCATGTTTCCATATGTGTTTTGGAGCTTCTGATTTGACCCTGTGACCTCAGATATTTCCTTAATGCCCACCCTCCAGAGCATTTTTGATTGAGACAACTAAATGCTTCGAGCAACTCCTTATTTCCTGAGAAGATTTGCTGTAATTTTCAACTACTACACTGCAACTTTAGGCTGAGTCGCAGCTGAAGTCATTTAGCTCCTTGGCACAATGTCCACACTCAGGGGATGGAAAATGCCAGGTTAACGAGTGCAGCTCTCTTACAAGGTGAACGGGTTTGCGTGTTCTGCACTCAGATAAGATAAGAGATAGAGGGATAGAAAAGTTGGAGTGTGGAGGACCCAGGCAGGAAAGACCTGCCAAGACCCAGAACTTTATTCGAGGCAGGTTTATACACATTCCCTGCCACCTAGCCAGCTCCTCGCGGCACGTTCTCACACAAAGGGATGGTTGGTAATTATTTGAGGGCATATGCAAAAACCAGTAATACATTAGCCAAGCTGTTCTTAGACAGGAGGGGAGGACAATGTTGGAAACGGAGTAACTGACATTTTTCAGACTGCTGCGTTTCAGCAGCTTTTCCAGGGAGCAGGGGGGCCATGTCCACTTTATCTCTGGCGGAGAGTCAGACCAGACCATGCCTCATCGGCTCCAGCAGTGAGCTGCCAGCACTCTCCCATGGACCTTGAGACATAGAAGATGGTGGTCCTGTCCCTCTTGCCTAAGGAGCAAACAACTTTGCCCTCACAGGAAGGAATTATACTCGCCTTGTGAAACTTGAAGACCCTTAATACATACCTATGGTTTTAATAGAAGACAATGTATGCAAAAATACTTTTGTGTGTGTGCAGGTGTGTAAATTTAAAAACTATAAATATGAATAAAGGGAATTATCTTTGCTGGGGACTTAGAAAACTCAGGATCACTTTAGCTTCCTTGAGGCTTTAAAATAGCACAGGGTGTCTGGTGCTTGTAGACAAGAAAGGGGGAAACTTTTGTGTAATGGATAAGAACATGGATTATGAGCAGACAGATTTGTTAGATTGACCTGCATGAAGTAGCTGCTATTTGAGCATTTCTACCCAACAGAAATAGAAATTACACATAGTTCAGTTCAACAACAGCATATTTGTAACAACCATAGTGAAGCTCCAGGGTCACTGTCATGTAAGTGTTTGACTGCTACCCTTCAAGGTTGATGGTTCAAATCCACCAGCTGCTCAGAAGGAGAAAAATTAGGCAATCTATTCCCTGAATTATTTCCAAAGCCCTGGAAACCCTTTATAGAGTTGCTATGAGTAGGAATCAACTCAATGGCAGTGGATTAACAACCCTGTAGGACAGAGTAGAACTTCCCCAAAGGATTTCCAAGCCTGTAATCTCTAAGGAAGCAGACTGCCGCATTTTTCTCCCATGGAGCAGCTGGTGAGTTCAAACTGCTGATCTTAGAATTAGCAGCTGAGTGCTTAACCAACAGAGATACCAGCACCACCACCCCACCATATTCTTTGTATCTCTCACTATATATCTTGATTTTTAAAAATCTATCTGGGAATGAAGGGTTGAGATGTGGTTTTAATTCGAAAATGTACATGAACCCTTACTATAAAAACAACAAAATCAAACCCACTGCCATTGAGTTCACGGCGTTTTAGGGAGCTAACACATGTACAGTCTTGGTCAGTGGGACCATTCACAGGAAAAAGTGTGAATTTCAACCAATCTGCCTCTGCCTTGGGAGTTTTGAAGACAGAACAATTGATACTGTTTGCTGAGTTTTTCTCACATTTCTGCCACAGTGAATTGCTATCCTTTGTCTCTCCCTGGATGTGGTAAATCCTTTCACCATGACCATCAAGATGCAAACTCCCAGAGTACAGGCCTCCGCTTGTCCATCGCTGTATGGACAAACAGAGGTATGTCCTTAGCAGAGGTCGGGTTCAGAATAAGCTTTCAGTAAATGATAGCTGAATAAGGCAATGGAGGCCCACTTAAAGAAATTCCATGATAATTTGTTGGATGTTGGTAGAATGATATTTTCTTGGAGCCAGACTGGGATAGAGTGAAGATGCATGCATCCACAGGTGTAATAATTCAATAGGCGCATGGTTAAAAATATACATTATCTCCCAAAGAATTACAGTAGGTAATCTGGTGGGTCCTGATGCACCTTTCTAAGATCCTGAGATTCCGGATGCTTTTCATTCTCAGAATACAGATGAAGAGGATGAGAAGGGACAACCAGAGCAGCGTGTCGGAATTCCTCCTCCTGGGGCTCCCCATCCGGCCAGAGCAGCAGGGCGTGTTCTTCGCCCTGTTCCTGGCCATGTACCTCACCACAGTGCTGGGGAACCTGCTCATCATCCTGCTCATCAGGCTGGACTCTCACCTGCACACCCCCATGTACTTCTTCCTCAACCACTTGGCCCTCAGTGACATCTCCCTTTCATCTGTCACGGTCCCAAGGATGCTGATGAACATGAAAACTCACCACCACTCAATCTCCTATATCGGGTGCATTCTGCAGGTGTACTTCTTCATACTCTTTGCGTGTGTTGATAACCTCCTTCTTGCAGTGATGGCCTATGACAGGTATGTGGCCATCTGTCACCCTCTGCACTATACCACAATAATGAGGGGTGATCTTTGTCTCTTCCTAGCGGCTGGATGCTGGCTCCTCTCTTGTGCCCATGGTCTGTTGCACACCCTCCTCATGGTCCAGTTGTCCTTCTGTGAGGAGACTACCATCCCCCATTTCTTTTGTGACCTTGCTGCTGTGATCAAGGCCTCTTGCTCAGATGCCTCTCTCCATGAGCTGGTCATCTTCACTGAGGGAGGATTGTTCTTCATCGTGCCACTCAGTAGCATCTTTGGCTCATATATCTGCATGGTAGTCACCATCCTGAAGGTTCTCTCCATCAAGAGAATCTCCAAAGCCTTGTCCACTTGTGGTTCCCACCTCGTTGTGGTGTCTTTATACTATGGGACACTGGCAGGGGTTTACTTTTTCTCCTCATCAGGCACAGCCCAAGACAAGGATGCAATAGCTTCTGTCATGTACATGGTGGTCAC